TAAAATGAAGTGTTTAAAGTCTCTCACGATACTATCTTTATTTCTTTAAGCTAGTCAATATTATTTACTGTTTATATATACTATTAAGTAAATAGCAAATTTTTTGGACAGTCAGCTCTACAATACCRGAAAAACCAAGGCTCTGTAGGTTTTCTTGGCATCCCGCTAATATACAYACATGTGAAGTATGGCGCAAGGTTTACGAAGCCAATGTTTATGGAATCAAATTTGGCGACACTATGGGGATGGTATAAAGGTAGATGGTATGTCTTCTTAATGAAATCGTGCTAAATGCAACYGAGAAAAAGCTATACACGAGGAAATAAACATAATGTTTTCATTCCCCAATAGAGAACAGTAGACCAATGTTTCTGTTGTTGACTGTTCCAACGGTAAAATCTGCATAAGTATTCACCGAGGGATCAAAGTCAGCGAGGCTTCTTCTGTAGGTATCCATACGCATAATGAAGCTTCTAAGGAAATGATTAGACTGAGTTGTAATCAAACCGAAACTATGGGCACAAAAAGTTCCTAAGTACTAATTTCSTGAGAATTTTTATTGAAAGAAAACATAGAAAACACTCTAAAATGTATACTTACTCTTGCCATTAATTCTGTTACGAATGGTCGCCACATGAGTGCACGTATTCTTTTTTTCAATGAACAMATTTTCAATGGGGAAGAAGTTGTTAGTAAAACTCTACACAAAGGTTTCATGGCAGTAAAAACGTCAGTCCAAGTATTCAGAAGCTTCTGTGAAGGTATTACCCCTCTTCATTTTTGTGAGAGAAGGGGTTAAAATTGGAGCAAAACTAAAGYCAGCAGGATGTTTAGGAAGGCGTGGTAAAGCACTTAAGTAATCCTCTTTGTTGGAGAGCATTGAATCTTTCAGCAAGATTTTGCTGCAGGACACAGGGCGAAAACAGTGGAATAATAGCAATATCCTAGTTTCAAATGAATGATTCTTTGGAAGTCGAATTTTTAATCCATCGGACTTCAGTAATGGTCGGAGTTGGTAAACACCATACAGTAATGTGAAGGGTCTCAAAAATATTTTTGGCTTTCAAGTAAAATCAATTTGATTCAAAATATCTTTTAGCTTCATATATTTTTAACGGCTTGAACTTGTAACAGAACTTACGACAGCTCTTATTACGCAGAGCTATAGGAAATGTACCCGTGAATGGTATTATAGCTCCGATGAAGCTTTTTCTTGTTCTTTATATTTATCGCCCAAAGCAATGACCACTTAGCCTTCAAGGCTTCCAAAAGTCAAGCGAATTGAATGCAAATAATTATATTTTGAAATTTATTTTTCCTATTTATCGCACATGSGATTGATTAAAGCTTTCTTATTTTCATGCAAATAGCAAAATGGAAGATCGAATGAGGTGAAGAATATATAAAAAAAACCTTAAAGATGTCTCAAACAAAGCAAAAATTAAATGATCATTCACGCTTATGTGAATATGTAAACATATATAATGCATTCATATATATAACGTAAGTATATATGTATGTATGTACAAAYGTAGATATATTTGTATGTCTTGTTTGCCCTTCTTCTTAGTCTCAAGCCAAAATCATTGAACATTCGAATTTTAAGCAAACACAAAAGCAATTGATTAAATAACTACAACAACAACAACTTTATAAATGCAAATAATGTTTGAACTCGTTTAACGGTTATGTGTGTAAGTCAACGAATAACGGGCTGTCATTGTACCACTAAGCGACCATGCGGCGCGGACACATGTTTGTTCGCAATACGCATGGATATATACAGACATATCTGTATATGCTTTAGCGTAGGAATGAGTATGGGTATGTGTGTTGTCACAATGAGCACAGGATTTTGTTGGACAACAAATGCCTGACAGACTCTTAAGCGTGTTTGTATAAAATATTGAATCAAAAGATTTTTATAATTGAAATGGAAAAAAGTGCAATAACAAACAAGAAAAAACATTAATTGCACGTAATATATCCTCGCAGGTGCATTTTAGTAACTATGTATGTGTTCAGTKTATATGGAAGCTATATGCTATAGTAATCCGATCTGAACAATTTTTTCGGAGATTATATTATTACCGTAAGCAGTTATCCATATCAAATTTTGTTAAGATACCACGTCAAATGTGAAAGCTTTCCATACAAGAAGTTGATTCCGATCGTTCAGTTCGTATGGCAGCTATATGTTATAGTGGTCCGATATCAGCAGTTCTGACAAATGAGCAGCTTCTTGAAGAGAAAATGATATTTGCAGAATTTCAAAAGGGTATCTTAAAAAACGGACGGACATCGCTAAATCGACTCAGCTCAATATACTGATAATTTTGATATATGTATACAWTATAGGGTCTCCGACGGGAATAAAAAGATATTGATATTTGAGTACGAAAGTCAGCTGGAAATATAAAATAAACAGCTGATAGTATATTCTTTTACATACATACAGGATGCGCGATATTTTATGTCGTTATGTAAGTAATGGCTTTGACATTTACCAAAACTAAGGAACTGGCTCGCCTYACAACGAACGAAATTCCCCATGTTATAGACAAGTGATTACTTAGTTACAATAAACTGTCTTGCTTAATATCAGCTTCAAATTACGCAATATATATTCCATCAGTTATGTATACGATATCGACGGTTTTCAACCAGTTCTGATACTTGAATCGCAGGTTGGTGTGTAGGTTAAAGGATTCAATGCTAAAAAGTATACGTGCACACATGTGGCGACCATTTGTAACAGAATTTATGGTAAGAGTAAGTATAGTATACAATTTAGAGTGTCTTCTATGTTTTCTTTCAGGTCTCACAAACTTCGTTGCAAACTGTTGAAAGCATAAAAGTCAATAAAAAATGGAAAAAACATCAGAAAACAAATATCGCAAAAGTTAAACATAAAAAAATGTATAATCAAAAGTATAACTACAAAAACAACAAATTAATAATCAGATGTCTCGTGTATTCTAACAATAGTAAAWGAGTCTTGATAATGTGAAGATATACGGTTTTTTATGCAAATGTATCTGAAAAAGATTATATTTGTTGTTGCTTGTTATACTATTTTTCTTTCTATATCTTCGTCGCTTATTAGTTGCCGGTATTATTCATGTTTATTTATGAGCTCATCGCTTCGGCAGACAGTGTGGATATTGACTGTAAAATGATACGGGTTGTTTGCAAGATTTTGGTGTGGATTTTTACTGTCAAACTTAATTATTATGAGAAAAATTTAACTGCTTGTTTTTATTAAAAACCACACTTATTGGTCGGTATAAATGTTCGACCATATTTTACATACGAGGGATAAGGGAAGTTCTAGATTGATTTCATTCACTCAAGAAATTGTTGTCAGAAATCTTACTAGCTCCAATGTTGCTAGTAAGATATGAGAAGGATCAGCGATCAAAATTTTGAAAGACCATTTGGGCATAAGAAAAGTGAAAGCACAATTGGTTCCAAAATCCTACACAATGTTTTTTCGAAAAACAGCGTCGCGTTGCCGTCTGTAAAATAATGCTTCTCGACTACTAGAGTATTATGTAAATTATTATTACCGKCGACTAGTCTTGGATCTATGCTTGCGACGCGGAAATAGACGACCAAGCGGCCTAATTGAAAATGTGAACCGAAGCCGAAAAAAGGCTAAATATTAAGGTGCACTCCGAATTCTTTCCGACTGGCCAGACTATGAAAAAGGAATACGATTTGGAGCTTTTCGTGAAGAGACGGCGGACGTATGGGCCCACAACTTTTGGTTTTTGCACCGTAGCGTAATGCATTAATTCTTCGTGAATTTTTCGCTAAATTTTCAACTAATATCACGCCGCATTCACCAGATTTAGCAGAAAATCCAAACAGCTGCTCCGGGGAAATCCTTTTGAATCAGTTGAAGACACTAAATGATCCGCGTTCTTAAATCGTCTTTAAAAACTGTTTCGAGAATGAAAAGATAACGCACCGTTTATATTACATTTCTTAGGGCAGTAATGTAGATTGACGGTTTAAATGGGGAAAATTGGCAAGTTTTGCAGTGAAAAACTCATTTTCCTTAGGTGTCTGCTTGGTTTAACCTTACTCATTCGCAAATCTGTCTGTGTCTAGCTCTTTTGAATGAAATTTGTATTTTGCAAAAGTTAAATCACGAAATGTAGCCAACTCCGGAAGTTACTGCATGTAGTAACTGTGCAAAATTATTTTTATTCTCAAACTTAAAGCGCCGGTTTCCATGCATTTCTCAGAAACCGGTTCGGCAAACCAAGTATTCCTGTTGATTTCCAAATTTTATATTCTACATAATTAATTGAAACAATAAAATGTTTTCTTCGCAATAAAATGTATAACTTAAATTGTCTGTCAGATTTGAGATTAAAACACAACACTCTTGCTGCGAACGAGATGTGGGGAATTTTAATGTTACTATCAACACTGTTCTTAATTGGAATTATTAAGGCCTTTGTTCATATTTGTCGGGCGGCGCATGCGCAAGTGTCACACGATTGACTTTTGCCCATWCATTTCGGGTTTAAGTGGGCGCACAGCTGGCAACAACAAACACCGAGCGGCAAACATTCGGCGGCATTTGTATATCGATCATAATATTTAGGCGTTTCCTATACCCTTTTTTGTTGTATTAAAACAATAAATTACAAAAAAACAAAAAAACTTGCGGTTTTKCAAGTTGCTCTCGTTTTGTCCTTCTTCATTTGCTGCTGAGCGTTGAAGAATCATCTTGTAAAGCTTGTCTACCGTTGAACCGGTTTCAGGGCTTAGATTGTTCRATACACGCATGGCTAATTATTGCTGTTGTTTGAAATAGCTGGCGTGAATCTGCAAAGATGGTTGCAGCGAAGAGGAAATCAAAGCAGCAGAAACRAGCGGAGAACAAGAGGTGCGGTTCCGGAGATCGGCTGTGCGGMATACGACTTTTATTTTTATAATAAATTATCATAATTATTTCGTACGCTTTGGCTAAAAATCATATAAAAACTGCGGGACATCAACGTTAAGACAGACACAAGTCGAACAGTTTTCAATAGAACAACTCGCTGGAAACACTCTAGAAAAATGGTAAATATTTGAGTGTGAAAAAAATAATTACAAAGGATTTTAAAGGAGCAAATAAAACCTTTAACAATAATRCTATCGTTATTTTCGTTTTATTTTAATGAAGATATCAAAAATAAATATATTAAAGTGAAAATTATTTTTAATTAAAAAAGCAACCTTTCCACCAAAACTATCTAAAAAAATTAAGTCAAGTAAATAAATAATATAATATAATTGGAAAAGTTTTGATATTAATGTAAAAAATATCTGATTTTTCATAATTACATATATACACATTAGTGTAACATACCGTGAATAAAATGGATATTAATAACTGGAGAAACAAATTTTGTAAAGAGAAATCAATAATTCCTAAGAATAGCGACGATTTTTTTTCCCACCTTCTATTTCACTCATCTAAATATCATTACACTTCTTTGCAGAAATTCTTCGCCATCACTACCTTTGCCGCCGTCTTGGCCTGCGCCTTCGCTGATGTTTCTGAGTTGGGTTATGCCTACAGCCAACCCGCTGCTAGCGCTCCAGTGAACGCCTACATTCCTCCTGCAGCTAGCGCTCCAGCTCCAGTGTACTCTGCCCCAGCCCCAGCACCAGTTTACTCTGCTCCAGCCCCAGCTCCAGTCTATCAGCCTGCTGCCGCTGCTCCAGCTCCAGTCTACTCTGCCCCAGCCCCAGCTCCAGTTTACCACCCAGCTCCATCTGCTCCAGTCTCATCATACATCCCACCTGCACCAGCTGCCGCTGCCCCAGAACCAGTATACTCTGCCCCCGCACCAGCTCCAGTCTATCAGCCAGCTGCCGCTGCTCCAGCYCCAGTCTACTCTGCCCCAGCCCCAGCTCCAGTTTACCAACCAGCTCCATCAGCCCCTGTCTCATCATACATCCCACCTGCACCAGCTGCCGCTGCCCCAGYACCAGTCTACTCTGCCCCAGCCCCAGCTCCAGTTTTTGCACCTCAGCCAGCTGCCTCTGAAGTCTATGAGTCGCCCGCTCAAGATGGTTACAGATACCGCACTGTCCGTCGTCGCGTCTACAAGCAACGTCGTTTCTAAGCTAGCAGTCTTTCAAGCTTTAGCGTGCATTTAATGAACAACTGAGAGGCTTTCGAGGCGAATTTGTTTTTTTAATTCGTTCGAATTGTGTTGTTAACTATTTTTTGCGACAATAAATTTTAGTTTAAAAAAATCCAATTATTTTTATTTCGCATTTCAGCAAGGGGAAATTAAAAAGATTCGAATTTTTGCGTTCTCAAAAACAGAGCTTCTTAGATAATGGTCAGGTCATCAGGTTATGTACAATTACATTCCTAAATATCTAATTTGATCCTATTACATTCGCTTGCCTTGCTAAACTATTCCTCCATAACTATCGATCAGCACCMCCATTATTGAGAATTCGCTGAGATCTCCTCCGTATTATCCCATATTTGTCTAAAGAACATACTTCTATGGCATTATATGTTTGTAGTACCATTTTCCGTGTCTATGAACCTATCACGGAATAATTGAAGTGAACTCTTTCAGACTTTAACTTTWTTTTTCCAAAAATCTGATGAGGTCCCGAACAATAGACAGATTAAGATTCTTTGAACGCACAAAACTTGTAATTTTTAAAATCCTTGAATGGGAAGAAGTTGAAAGTTWATTATTTGAGTTTACAAATTTTGTTAATATGAACGTGATCGGCCTAATATAACCTAAATTCGGTTACAATCGCGTAATCGAATTTTTGTGACACTTTTAAATTTTGAATTCCTGATTATGTTTTGYCTTACTTTCAGATAGACCATTAATWACAGTCTGTGAGTATTGTCCCAAAGCGTTGACACGAATAATATTGTATAACCGTATGGAGAAATCTTCAATAAAGCTAGCTTTTTAGGCTTGGGGCTACAATAGTTTATAAGGAGAAATTAAGAGAAGAAGCAGATGCTGTCGACAACTATCAGTCAGTCTGTGAGATATTATATTGAATCGAGAAAACAATAATGTAGACTTCTGTTAAGAATGGATACATTCTGGTCAATAGTTTCTCATATGGTATATTTAATTTTAGGAAATTTACACTTCCGGTGAATATTTAATATATATTGGTAAAAATTAAGTCAATGATAATGATATCGAACTTATTTCTATAGTTTGGTGCTGAAAAATGTGTGAAATCGATCTACGAATCTGCTGTTCTTGACTGAGTGACCAGGYCATCGTAAAGACAATGCATGGGTTTATGTTCCCAATTGAAAAGACAAATCATAAGTCAGTTTTGTCAAACCGCCATTACCTACCAAGCTGTTCTATAAGAAATGTCCATTCTCCTACAGCTAGTAGTTGTTCCGCCTATTTTGCGGTGTAGTTTTCAGCGTGGAGGTCTAAAGGTGGCAGGTCTAGCACTAGTTCAAGAGCTGCCGTTGCAGTGGAATTTAGGTGTGGAACCTTTTCCTTCGGCTTCAACAGTTAGATCAAGTTATCTGGTGTCCTTAGAGGGAGTTGTGTATCTGTATCGCAGTAAAGCATCCATAGAGGGATTTTGCATTTACTAATGGAAAAAGCAGATCCGTTTTCTCCAGATGCAACCTCAGATCCACTTGTGATGGTCGATCCTGGCCTGCATTCAGAGTGGTGGTGATCTTGCTATTATTAAGTCGGCAATGTTATCGGGCTTTGCCGTATAAGTTTATTAACAGTTTCTTTATGACTAATTATCCTAGAAGCAAAGATAGCACAGCGGAGTGAAGTCTTTCTTGATCATTTCAAAGTCGTTTCATTATGATTTTAACCCTCTATAAATCAAAAGTCTCTTATTGAAATTTGAGTTCTTAATAATAATGTAGTTACGGGTTGTATAGCTTGGTCTAAACCTCATATCCCTAATATAATGATGCCCGATTATGTTACGAAACTCGAAGCAAAATGTAGTTATAAAGCTAAATACCGTTTTCTCAATGTCTGGTTAGCAGCCATCTGTCAGTTCTAGTTAAAAAAAAATTTCTTTATCGAAAGAAGGAGTGTTAGTTAAGTTAATCAGAACTTCACCGCCAGATGGACGCTGAGAAGTGGATATATTAYCAATAATAATTTGAGTTAATCTTCTTCTTCCTTATTGGCGTAGACAGCGCATATGTGGTTATAGCCGAGTTTACAAAAGATCGCCAATCGTTTTTCCCTTTCGCTGTTTAGCACCTATTGGARATTSCAAGTGTAGCTCTAGCTCTAGCTCCTTATCCACTTGGTATTTCCAATGAAGTGGWGATCTGCGTCTTTCTCTACTTCCCYAGCGGGTACTGCGTCGAATACTCTCATASCTGGAGTGTTTTTGTCCATTCGCACGACGTGACCTAGCCGTTGTCTTAAATTCCTTTACAGGATTTTTTACTTTTAAAAGAACTTTCGTATTCGAAGGAACGCTGAGTTCGTAATCCAAACTTGGGTAAATTAGTTCATTTTCCAGAGAGACTAAAAAGTGAGTCTGAGTCGTTAGAAGCAAATATTATAGTGAAATKTAACATTCAAAGACTCAGAAGGCAAGTGGTTTGTAAAGTATTGCATTTGGAGGCAGTTTGGTTATGGCAAATTAAAACGAATTTCAGTTGTGATAAATGCAACTTTTCCGTTTTCTAAATCGCGAAAATTTCCTAACTGTTTGTTATTCACGCATACGGTAAACCGTTTTTGTTAGCTAGTGAGCGCTTCGAGATTAAATGCTTAGATAATAATGTAAGTACAGGAAGTCTTACTCCATAATTATTATAAAATTTGAGAATAAAAGAATCCGAGTCAAGTTAACCTARCACTTAGAAGCACTTAAATTTCAATTTGCAATTACATACACACGCATATAAAACATATATTAATGTATATGCAAAATTTATTTTCATTTGGCTTGCTTATGAGCTAATCTSACATTAAACCCAGCGCGGCCTTAAGTGCCTTGAGCTGTCTTCGTTTATCTTCATTAGAAATTTCGCAGTTTCAAACAAATAGTGTGTTTGAAATGTTTTTGTTGTTTGTTTTTATTTTCGGTTTAACGTTTTGTTTCTCTTTACACGCATCTTGGAGTTTCTACATTGAAGTACTTCATTGTTTGTTGTTGTTATGTCAAAATTGTTTGGCTACAATAATTAATGAAGTGAATTGCCGAAAGGCGAATCATATAAAAACTGCGAGACGSTAACGACCAAACAGACATAAGTCGACTAGTTATCATCTACAGAGCAACTAATCCCAAATAGCTGTGCAAAAATGGTGAATATTTGTTTTTTTTTATAACGATATACAAATAAAATAAAACGGAAAAAATTTTTTCTTTGCAGAAATTCTTCACCGCCGCCATCGTTGCTGTCGTGTTGACCTGCGCATGCGCTGACGTCTCCCACTTGGGCTACAACTATCAGCAACCCGCTCCGGCTGCTAGCGCGCCATCCAACTCATATATTCCACCAGCTGCTAATGTTCCCGAKCCTGTATATGCGCCCGCACCAGTTCCAGTTTACCAGCCAGCGCCTGTGCCATCCGCTCCCGCATCTGCTTACATCCCACCTGCACCAGCTGCCGCTGAACCGGAGCCAGTCTACCAGCCCGCACCAGCTGTTCCAGCGCCAGTTTACCAGCCAGCGCCTGTGCCATCCGCCCCCGCATCTGCTTACATCCCACCTGCACCAGCTGCCGCTGAACCGGAGCCAGTCTACCAGCCCGCTCCAGCCGCTCCTGCCCCAGTCTACCAGCCAGCTCCTGCACCATCGGCACCAGCTTCCTCGTACATCCCACCCGCACCACAACCTGCTGCTTCTGAGGTTTACGAACAACCTGCTGAGGATGGTTACAGATACCGCACCGTTCGTCGTCGTGTCTACAAACAGCGTCGCTTCTAAGCCAGAGTGAACGAAGGGTATCTATCAGAATTCCTATTTTAATTCRTTCAAACCAAATTGTTACCATTGTTTTCTTTTAATATAAGTCAATAAACTCTTTGATACCACGAACACGTTCTAACTATGGCTAGCCTTACTCAAAAGACGAAGTATTACTAGTCTTGTGCAGAGTGCAGTACCGTTACGGAGTGTTTGTAGAGAAAGTAAYCATGGTACAAGTTAATTCCTTTTCTATAATGAAATTTAGGTAGATAAGAGTCCCACCACTTCTGGTCCAATTAAACTATCGCAAGACTTTTATATCTTAATATCACGTTTCATTGTTGCCGTGTTCAAAGCATTTGGTGCGCTCAATGAACCCCCTTATTTCAATTATGTTTTCAAGTTTTGTATCTAATGAATTGAATTTTATTCGAATAACATTATGATGGTTTCTTCATTATTTAGACTCATTGAGAATTTTCCCACTAAGTGGCATAAATTGAAAAGAAAATAATATTTTTGAGATCTTGTACATAGAAAGGTAAAGGTTTGTAGTAATAATGGATTTCGCTTTTACTGAATACTTAACAATTTTCTTAATAACCATGTTCCAGTTAACTATTCTTTGAGTGATGGACGATAAAAGGATTAAGACGAGTAGGTCTTTGTGGCATTAATACAGTGGCCATATAAAAGAGTGAAAATTTGGTTATCTGTAGTACTAGATTCAAGCATAGAAAATGTCATCAAGCTACCTAGCTGTCTAAGGATCAAAAAGCCTATCGATCATGTTGTGCAAAAAATGCACGTCAGCAAGGAAGATTCGAAGATTTTCCCCTCGACTTGTACTTCTACTCTCTGAGAGAGTTCATCAGCAGCTCGGTATAAGAGAATTGTGGGACGGCATATCAAGCTCCTTACGTTGAACCAGCAGGCAGGCAGGCAGAATATATTATTTTACAGAATTTTCTTCTGAACTTCTGAGTAAGAAACGTATTTGTCAAAGCTTCTCATATTCGTTGCTTTGTCTTTCGGAAAAACCGCCTGGCCTTTGGAGTTACTTGCCGCGCGTAGACTGAAGTAGAATTTTAGGTGGTTTTACCTATGATAGATTGTATTCTAGAGAGCTGCCCTAAAATAGAAATTTTCTTTKCAACTTGTAGACTTCATTTATTTTAATTATGCCAAAAACAATTCAAATTGTCTTTCCGGTTAASTTTCCAAATTAGTAACGGCGTTGTTTGTAGACACGGCGACGGACAGTACGGTATCTGTAGCCATCCTCAGCAGGCTGTTCATAGACATCGGAAGCAGCAGGTTGTGGTGCAAGGTACGAAAAAGAGGGCGCAGATGCTGCAGGAGCTGGTTGATAAGCGGGAGCTGGTGCCGGGGCGTAGGCTGGCACGGGTGCATTGGCGGCTGGTGGAATATAGGAGTTGACAGGTGCGCTGGCAGCGGGTTGATTGTAACCGTATCCCAACTCTGAGACATYAGCGCAAGCAAACACCAGCACGGCGATAAAGGTAGTAATGGTGAGGAATTTCTTKAAAATAATTTCTGTGAGAGTCCTGTTCAGATTTTAAAATAATGTAAATATAGTTTTACCATTTTAGGTACTCTTAGTTGCTTCACAAAACACAGCTTAAAGTGCATCTATTTAATCACCGCCTTTCGACGGCTTTTATATGCTTCCCACCTAAGGTGGCTCTATTTGTTTGAACCACTAATAAATGTGYTCCCAATAAAAATAATTAATAATATAATATAAATTTCTTTGCAGCAGAGAAAAAAATCGAAATTGCTATGATAGGGGTCTCCATGAAAGTTTACATTTCGGTGGTGAACGGGACTATGAGTTATCAATTGATATATGTAAAACAAAACTGAAGGAATTCGATATATAGCAATATATAGAAATTATATTCGAGAAGATGAGAGAATCCTACAAAATTTATATAGAAATAATCCAATAAAAGATTAATAGGCTAGGCTTTCTCTACTCTTCTCCTAGTGTTATCTAATCACAGCGCATAATGTAATTGTAGTTTTAAACTAGTCTTTCTTTGATCTTATTTGGCAACCTGAAGGCCAAAATATTTATTAGCCTTAGTCTGGATTATCTTAGGCTAGTTTCCGCCTAGTCAGTGATACTCTACWTTCAGTCTAATCTTAGCCTAGTTATCTTTTATCACATTCCACAGTGCTAGAATAGTACATATTATCATTATCATTATCTTACTCTTAACTTCTTAGCTTAGACTAAGGCTTTGTTTAGTCTTAGTTAAATATTTCTCAACTATTTTGTATTCTGCATTATCCTTGTACTTKTCTAGCCTTAGTCTGACTTTCACCTAGCTTTAGTCACGTCTTGTTCAATATTATTTAAATCACATCAGCATAAGTCTAATATTAATCGAATTAGTCCAGCTCAGCGCTTGGAGGGCACCTATGAGAGCTGCCCYGCCACKATGTCAAAATCGTGCTTGGCGACTTTAACGCCAAGGTGAGATACCTCYGTTTCTTTGGCACTACGGTCGGTAAATTCAGCCTCCATGATGAAACATTCCCGAATTTGTTGAGGCTAATTGACTTCGCYGGGCCCGAAATATGGTTATCTGTAGTATTAGATTAAAGCATAGAAAAATTCACCAAGCTACCTGGCTGTCTCCGGATCGAAAAGCCATCAAGCTGATTGATCATGTTGTGATAGAGGGAAGACACGTCTCCTTTTTTATCCTTGAATAATGTATATTTGGATAAATAGTCTAACCATGACATTGTTTGATTGTTGATAATGATAATGATAGGATATCAGTTCTTCTTTAAAATATTTACCATAGCTTTCTACCTTCGGGTTTTGTTTTAGGACTCCTTTTGATGTATTTCCATATACTTCGCTTTTATGGGTTGTTAACTGTTTGTTTTTAATCAGATGACGTTAAAAGCACTTGGACTTTCAGTTATATTCTACAATTTTATTTTTTAAATATTGATTTTCTTTAAGCTGGTAGCAAAATTTTTCTTTGTGCTTGTTAACTACCAATTTTGGTGAATTCAAGGTTAACCTGAAATCAGATTTATAAACTCAGCATAATATTCTGAATTCTTGYAACCTGGACTTCGTGGTCTACTAAGAGATAACGAAGCTAACTGACTTGGGGTCCCTTAACATTKCTACAATCAATATATGTACATAGGTTTAATAGAATCCTTCTTTTTTAGACTATGATGAATAATACCAAAGTATTTGAAAGTTTTGAAGTAGTAGTTTGAGTTGCTAAACTGGCTTTGTAGAATCCAGCTACCTCCATATCACATTTGTCTAGGTGCCTGACTGCAATGTAATCTTYGGATGCTTTGTRGATATGCGAAAGTCGCTTTGACCTKTATTTAGRAGTTCTGAGCATCACAACGCACAAGCGTCTCTAGCTGTCGATGTGGGATTATTCGTGGCCTAATGAGAAATCCGTCTAACCTAATATAAGTTATTTAGTTTTGCTTCGCCACCAGCAATGGAACTTCTGTCTTTAGTTTTCAGAACTTGAAAAAAAAAAAAAATTCTATCAACCCTCGGAGGTATAGAGTCTATCCGGGAAGTAATAGGACTTATTTTCTTCTGCCACGACTGTACTTCGGAGCGTGCACGCACCGACTGGATTCGGTAGAGGGCGTTATTAGCTAACGAACGAGTGGCTGGTCACCTGGAGAGTCAGAACGCGCGACGTGTTTCTGTGAGAGGTGCAAGCCGAAAATGCAGCGTTGGTTAGAGCAGAGGTACGCGATTAAATTCTGTGTGAAGCTCGGTAAATGTGCGATAGAGACGTTTGACTTGGTTAAGCAGGCTTACCCAGATGTTATTTTTAGCAAGAAGGGGTGTGTTTCGGTGACCCCAGGCCTTCTTGGAGGGCCGGAAATAATTGATGAATACAAGGAGAATGAGCAAATCCAAAATGAAAACGATGCTCATTGCCTTTTTTGACAYAGAAGGATCGTACACCATGATACTGTCAACGCCAAGTTTTACGTGGAAGTCCTCAARAGACCAGAGCTGCAACGAGTATGATATAATCAGAACAAACACTCGTGCCAAAAACATAATCAAATATATTCAGTTCAGCATAGACAACACTGTTGATTAGTTCGAGTATCTGTCAGCGTCAAATGATTTGATGCAACACGAACAATCTGTTTTTCGGCAAACACGATTGAGTAAACGGTATGGCTGGCTTCGGTTCCAATCGCATCATGTCAGTTCATAGCGTTTCGACGATTCTTTGAATCGATGTGAAACTTCGGGTAAACTATAAGTAAATCTACGAGTAAATCTATGAACAAATATATAAATATACAAACAAATCAGGTATAAGCTGATCGCTTGCAATTCAAAGAGAACAACGAGAAGAGTGAATCGATTTCACTGTGGAACATTTTTGGGATTATTGTCTGGGGGGTGAGAAATTCCAAGTCAGTTTGATGGTACTAAAGGGGTCATAAGGTCATAAAAAAACCTGACACATACGAACGCCAAACCCTTTGAGGGTTTTACTATACTGACCTAGTACCATCACCCTGACTTGGAATTTCCCACCCCCCAAATTAGCTGTTGTACTGTGTTTGAAGACAAATGGTTCGCTTCGTGAGCATGAACCGAACTGTCAGAATCAGACAGAGTAACGGGTGAGTACTTAAGTATAAACAAAAATTTATTACTCGTTGCATTTCTCTGATAACAAGAGACATAAACGAAGGTTCAATCGGTTCCGACAAGACATCGTAGCGGATTGGAAGTTACACCACGATAGCGCACCGGCTCACACCGTTCTTWTTCTGAATAGCTACCTAATCAAGGTCGGCATCCCAACGCTTCCGCAGCCGCCCTATAGCCCAGATATAGCCCCCAAACTTGTTTGTTTCTTTGCCTTAAAAGACCGATGAAAAGCAAGCATTTTGAGGCAACAGAAGGGATCCCAGCAGCATACACTTCAATGCTTGGAAATCGTGCTGACAGCGCTGTATCGACACAGAAAGAGCTTATTTTAAAAGTTTTTAAGGAATTGTAACGAAATTCCTAAAATTTTTTTAAAATGGATTCAGTCCTAATACTTTCCAGACGAACCTTGTAAGGTTTTAATGCTTTTTTATACACGGCGCTTGTCCTGAGCAGTGGGACCTGAGTTTTTTCTAAAATACTGAATTGACATGCCTTTCCATTAGCTTGCATACCTGTAAAACGTTGTTTAGCACCGAAGTCAATMTTAGCTTCGAAATAATAAACATTTTCGGCTTGGTAGCCATTAGAAGAATTAGCAAAACTGAAAAACCAACAGTTATTGCATCCTAATATCACTACTTTAAATAAAAATATGYTTAGTAATTAGCGGGGTCGAAGGAAAAGAAGCAAATCAAACAAAGTCTGCTCTAATAAGAAAAACAAACTTTGGTATAAGAAAGTATCAGAGAGTTTGTTGCTGTTCGTCTTTCGAAACGAATATGAATGTGATGCTACAAACAATTAGTCAGTTGACAAAAACATCATGTTAGCGTGTTTAAGAAGTTTAAACACATTTTTGAAAAAAAACTGTGCGCTCAAACAAGTAGAGCAAGTATTGGATTGGTATCAGGTGTACAATTTTTGGTTTCATTAGTTTGAAATAGGATTTATAAATATCTCAAACTCTGTATTTCCTCAAAAAACTAGTTTCCGCCTTTGAAACAACTTTTACTTTAAGTACAATGAACTAGCACTACCGCTCTTCTGCCAAGTAACACTAATACTTCTGGTGATTCAAGTTCACTTTCTGCTTAGAACTACTGGTTTTATGATTTCATAGCGAGCAAATTAAGCATTAGATAACATTAACGGCTGCSGCTACATTGCGAAATCGTATAAAAAGCGGGAGAGAAATACGACTAAACAACCACTTGTTAAACTGTCTTCAGCCGAACAACTCAACGCAAGCAAAATCAGTGAAAATGGTAAATATTGACAATATAAAAAGTGATATTGGATAAACCACCAAAAAGGATAAAGAATATTTAAAGTGTATAGTGAAAAGAAAGAAATGTCTATCAAATTATTTGGAATACTTCAACCTAAACTCCCTAATTAATAAAAAAAAAAACTCCGTTTTCATTAACAGAAATTCTTCGCCGCCGCCGCCTTCATTGCCACTTTGGCTTTTGCCAGCGCTGATGTCTCCCACTTGGGCTATGGTTACGACCAACCCGCTGCTAGCGCACCATCCAACCAATACATCCCACCTGCAGCCAGCGCTCCAGCTCCAGTGTACTCTGCCCCAGCTCCATCCTACAGTGCCCCAGCTCCAGTTTACCAACCAGCTGCTGCTGCCCCAGAGCCAGTGTACTCTGCCCCAGCTCCAGCTCCGGTCTACCAACCTGCGCCATCTGCTCCAGTCTCATCTTACATCCCCCCTGCAGCTAGTGCTCCAGCACCAGTCTACAGTGCCCCAGCACCAGTCTACAGTGCCCCAGCTCCAGTCTACCAACCAGCTGCTGCTGCCCCAGAACCAGTCTACTCTGCCCCAGCTCCAGCTCCAGTCTATGCCCCACAACCAGCTGCATCTGAAGTCTATGAGCAACCTGCTCAAGATGGTTACAGATACCGCACTGTGCGTCGTCGTGTCTTCAAGCACCGTCGTTTCTAAACTGTGAACTGATTTTCGAAATAAATTTGTTGTTAACTGGTAAAATCGGGTTTAATTCACATTCAGGTAGACAATTTCGTGYCAGCATCAGCAGCACTGACTTTAAGTAGGTATTTTAAGACGAATCACGCTGGAAGAATTGAATGTAAATATGCTTTCCRTTTGGTCTTGATTGCTTTGGAGAACATTTTTGCTCATTATTCTATGTTGAACAATTAGAGGAAACGTAAGATAAAGCGGTCTTGAGCTTTCTGTTGAGTAAAAATACATTGACTTATAGTATGTCTTTTTCATACTTATAAAAGTAACATAATATTGTAAGACTCATTAAACCGACGGTTGGGTCTAARTAACCGGAACGGACCCGGATTTTTATCCGGCCAAGAACTGTCAACTCGGCACCATTCCTYAGGAATGTTTATTTCCCCCTACGGCAACAACAACTCCTTGATAGAAGAAGAACAACGTGCAAGTATTGGACCGATAACAGATAATCTCCAATGTGGTACGGAAACATTTTCTTCTAGACCTCGAAAACTGGTTATAACTAGAGAGTTAATCAGCTACACACATATGTATATCCAACATAGGTTGTGCATCAGCACTTTGGTACGTAAGGGTATACTTTTATAACCAAGTAATATCCTTCAGTAAGAGATGAAAACGCAGAAGATCGCTTAATTGAAGCTGAATTTTTGGGTCCTCTTGAGACCGCCCTAGCGGGATCAATCCATTTGTACAAGCTACTTTACAAAGTAAACAGGACTTAAAAAAAAAAACAGAACAAATCGTTTTTTCGGCAATATCAATTTATTTTATTCAAAATAGTCTCCTTCTGCTTCAATACAGCTTTTTGCACGGTCCAAAAGCATGTCGAACGGGTGTTTTAGCTCGTTGGTCGGTATGGCTTCCAGTATGACGGTACAAGCCTTTTGAACGGCCTCTTCGTCTGCATAACGCTTTATTTTCATGAGCAAATGCATTACTCCGAAAAGGACGAAGTCGCACGGTGCCATATCAGGTGAATACGGGGTGGTTTAGGGTTAAAAGCTAATTTTTGGTCAAAAAATCGGTCACAATGATGCCCTTCACAAACACACTGACACTTAAAATGCAATAACTTCACTTCCGATAGATGAAATGTCATGAAATTCTCACTGGACAATCGATAAAGATAACAGATTTGGAAAGCTCCTTGCATCTGCCTAAACTCATAATCGCACAGTTCCGATCCGACTTTTCATCACTTGAAACAGAGGTTCGTATTCAATCCAAAGGCGAATACTTAATAGAATCTCCTTCAATGTTCGGCAATAATTAAAAGGCAAAGTCATAAATTGCGCTTCCTGCCTGTCGCTGATAACAATTCAGCGACGTCGCAATATTTGTAATTTCTAATTTAGTTCGGAAARAATGTAAGTAAGAATCCATTAAATATTCTTCTCAATATAAGCTTTCATTTTAGATCTTCAAGGGACKCCATACATATTTACTTGGTGGGCGTAAGAAAATACTTCAGCTATTAATTGCTTTGTATTATCTAGTTTTATTCCAATCTTCAGTCCCTAGGATTAAAGTCTCCAGACTTATGATAATTTTATTTTTAAAGAAGTGTGCCATTAGTAACTATAATCATTTCAATTTATTTKTCTATAAAATTATTATTCAGTAAAGATTTAAAACTACATTTTCTCCATTTTGGCTTTCAGCCTGCGTTGATGTTGATGCCAGGAATCAGCCAGCAGCCTTCAAACTCATATATTCTCCCTGCAGCCAACGCTCCTGAGCCAGCTTATTTTTCTCCTCCTACATTCCCCCCTCCACTAATGCACTAGAACCAGCCTATGTTCTAACTCCTGTTCCCGCTTCGGCTCCAGTCTAAAAACTTGCGGCTTCGGCTCCAGTTTCAGCTTACATCCCCCAGCACCTCAACCAGCTGCTACCGAAGCCTGTTCAAGATGGCTACAGGCATCGCACTGTCCATCGTCGTGTCTACAACCAACGTCGCCTGTAAACTAATATATTCATAACTTAATGTTATGAAATTGTTGCTGTTTTCTTTAGAGATGATAGTAATGAATAATTTTTTACAACGAAGCCAGATTGTTTTGTAATACAAATCCTAAAATAACGAATTAACTTTTGCACTTAATTTATGCTTTATACTTATTAGTTATTTAATTTTGATTCATTGATGAAGGCGCAACATTCGATTGCAAGAATCATTGAGGGAGATTATAAAAGATCTCATCATTTAGACTTTTGAATACTTTACTATTGCAAAAATAATGCTATGAAATTCATTGTCCAAAAAGAATAATCCCTAATGAAATTTTCTTAAATCACCTTTCTTATTCAAATAGTTGGAACTAAGAAAGAACTAATCCCAATTCATTCAATATGTGCTGGTAAATAAAGCTGTGGAAACACGTGAAARACGAAGATGGTTCGACAAAGAGTGGGAAAATATAAGAATGAAGTGTAAACCAAAAGTAAATACAGATGTAAAAATAGCAGCTGCAATTTCRGGCAAATAAACTCTTATCGGCTGCATCGGCGAAATAACCTACATTATTCTGCGTTGAAGATCTTACGTAGACTACGCTTTATGTACTTAAATATACCTATTCATAATATTTCTTCAATTAATACCGATGTTTCAAATGCGTATTAATGTCTTCGTTGAAAATATGCACTATATTAAAATTCATAAAAAAAATTAAAATTATCTTAGTATGCATGGAAAACGTGTTTCTATGAGGGACCAGCTGTTGTTATCTCARTGCTGCCTTTTCTTTAAGTGCATTGAACCAATACTTCTTTATTTCCTTTTGCTTGTCTTCTATGAAAAAAATATATGTGTCACTAATTTCTTTGTTTATTCTAATCGCAATTTCTAGTTTTGAAGGTAAATCGTTAATGTTGCGCTTCGCAGAAAATAATATGGCATTCTAAAGGTATATAAAGTACTCTTATTCAATGACCAAACATTCAGAAGTTAGACGGATTTCAGTAGCACAACAAACCAAATCGAATTTATTAAAAATGGTAAGTATCGAGTTCCTCAATGGCAAGGATATTCAATAAAGGAATTTCAAGTTTCCAAAGAGTATAAATAAAATTACACCTTATACTACCTTCTCCATAGAAACTCTTCGCCGCCGCCGCCTTTATCGCCACTTTGGCATTCGTTTACGCTGATGTCTCCCATCTGGGCTATGGCTACGACCAGCCTGCTGCTAGCGCTCCATCTAACCAATACATCCCACCTGCAGCTAGTGCTCCGGCACCAGTCTAYAGTGCCCCAGCTCCAGTTTACCAACCAGCTGCTGCTGCCCCAGAACCAGTCTACTCTGCTCCAGCACCAGCTCCAGCTCCAGTSTACCAACCTGCGCCGTCTGCTCCAGTCTCATCTTACATCCCACCTGCAGCTAGTGCTCCAGCACCAGTCTACAGTGCYCCAGCTCCAGTTTACCAACCAGCTGCTGCTGCCCCAGAACCAGTGTACTCTGCCCCAGCTCCAGCTCCAGCCTATGCTCCACAACCAGCTGCCTCTGAAATCTACGAACAACCCGCCGAAGATGGTTACAGATACCGCACTGTGCGTCGTCGTGTCTACAAACAACGCCGTTTCTAAACTTCAGACTGATTTATCAAATGGTGTTTTTGAGCCCGTTAGCGATTTTGTTGAAATAAATTAATTTTTACTGCGTAAAAAAGTCTTATCACTAAAGGATAGCTCCAAACATTATCTGGTTATGTTGATACTACAGCAGCGAGCTTTAAGCTATATGAAAGTGGGACGTTACGGTTATGGAGATTGGGTTTTAATAGTCTTTACAAAGTTCGTGACACGGCATATTTATGGTTCTCCYATCTATATTACTGTATTTATTTAAAATTGGTTATGGTTTATGGAACAACAAATGTCTTTTAACATGCCACCTTCATACAGTTAATGTGAAATATGTGCGCTAAAAGTAATTAACTTTTAGAGGTATTATCGTAATCTTCGGTTGGCTTAAGGTATATGATATTAAATTTTTTGATTTGGCATTTAATTATGTCGAACAGGATATACTAGACTTGCCAAGAACTTTGTAACACCCAGACTTAAACGTCGTAGACCTGAAGGTGAAATATATACTATATACATTTTCAGCGTGACGAGCCGCKAAGGTTTGTGTATGCCCATCCGCCTGTTTATCTGTACATATGCGAACTTTTTGGGAAATATATAAAGGAGTTTCATGCGTCCATTTCCAGCCATGAAGTTCCTCATTTTTCAGATTCCCTCGTCAAGTGTTTGTTTAGAAAACATAATTTAATTACATTGAAGACATAAATTACTACTCAAGGTAGCGCTACAATCTCTGAACAAGTGGTTTACATGGCACCACTATGACATATTACTGTTATTCAAATTGATCGATCAATATCAAGTTCTAGTGTTAGTCCTGGCTAGAAAGAACTAAKAAATTGAGGCAGTTTTTCGCTAGATGCAATCCCTTGGCCGGTTACGTTATAACGGGTACTTAGATCAGGTACCTTTTCTATAGCTTTTTTTGACAGATCAAGCGGGAGTCGTGTCAAGCTGTCAAGTTATTTTTGTCAATATTGTTTGGCGTTTCATCATGGAAAGAATGATGCATTATTTGATGCCTGAAATAAAATGTCGTGAYTTCGACGACACTTAGTTRTGATAAGACGGCGCCTCTTCCCASACATCGCATCAACAAATGGATTTATTGAGAGCACACTTCGGTGAGCAGACGTTTTGGGCCGGTCGTGTCGTGCCAAGATCGTTTGATAGCATACCGTTAGACTTTGTCCTGTGGTGATGTGTAAAGTCTAAAGTCTATGCAGATGATCACGCTTCGATGCAGGTCTTGGATCTAAATTTCATACGTCTCATTCGGCAGTAACTAGTAAAAATGCTCAAACGAGTCATCGAAAATTGGACTCAAAGGATGAACCATCTGAGACGTAGGCACAGCCAACATTTGTAAGATATATTCTTCAAAAATAACTGCTAAATAATGTTCTTTCGAATGGTAGAAAGCACTCCCCATTTAAGTTGAATTTTCTGTGCTTTTTCTTTATAAAAGTAGGGAATCTCGAAATGGATCACCCCCTACATGTAGTTGCTACAAGAGAGGCATTTGTGAAGAGTATTATAGCATCAGTCCAATCGAAGTTAAAATTTTTCTTGATAAGTGTTCGAATCCTTGAAATTTTTTCTCCATAATTCACCTGACGTTGTCTTTCCTTCATAATATGAAGAGTGCTACACCGATCCGTTTGAAATTCACTGATGATTAACTAAGTGATAACCACATTGTCATACAGCTTGGGCAATATACATACGATTTTAAAGTGCCTTGTTAATATGAAAATTTTCGATAAACAATCCTCAAACATGTAAACTTCTATAGAGAAGTCGCCCAAAAACTAAAAATTTAAACTAACAGCGAGTTCTTTCCTTACCTTATTAACAGTTTTTAATACAAATAAATCCTTGAGAACTTCGAATACTGCTCAAATTATGTTAGATTCTCCATTTGACAGAAGTTATCATATGTACACCGCAATCGTACATAWTTATTTATATATTCACAATTTTAAATATATTCAAAAGCGTGCCATCTYCGAGCCGGAAAATATCATGCTAACAAGTTTTAACTTCAATTTGACTTCACTTGTCAGCTTCTACTATGCGTAAGTGCTTTCAAACAGCTACTAAACCAGAAGTAGATCGGAAAGATCATATAGTAGAATTGATTTGCATTTTCGTGATAAAAGTTAGTTAATTTGCGCTTAGTYAACTTGTTAAAAGATGTGGGATTTTTAAGATTGTCTCAATGAACGAAAACTGTATATAAATAGCGAAGACACCCCGATATGATTATCACAAGTCGCACTGACTGCAACAGAGCAAGTAACTAAATATTATTAAACATGGTAAATAAATGTCTGAAAAGAAGAGTACATCCCTGAAGGATATCGCTAAAATTCGAATCTTCTTACCTTCCACAGAAATTCTTCGTTGCTGCTGCCTTCATCGCCACTCTGGCTTTTGCCAGCGCTGATGTTTCCCACCTGGGCTACGCTGCCAGTGCACCATCTAACCAATACATCCCACCTGCAGCTAGCGCTCCAGCACCAGTTTATAGTGCCCCAGCTCCAGTTTACCAACCAGCTGCTGCTGCCCCAGAACCGGTATACTCTGCCCCAGCTCCAGTTTACCAACCAGCTGCTGCTGCCCCAGAACCAGTGTACTCTGCTCCAGCACCAGCTCCAGTCTACCAACCTGCGCCATCTGCTCCAGTCTCATCTTACATCCCACCTGCAGCCAGCGCTCCAGCACCAGTCTACAGTGCTCCAGCTCCAGCTCCAGTTTACCAACCAGCTGCTGCTGCCCCTGAACCGGTATACTCTGCCCCAGCTCCAGCTCCAGTCTATGCGCCACAACCAGCTGCATCTGAAGTCTATGAGCAACCTGCTCAAGATGGTTACAGATACCGCACTGTGCGCCGTCGCGTTTACAAACAACGTCGTTTCTAAGYTTAGAACTAATGAATGTCCCAAAATAAATGTTTAGTTAACTTGAAAGACATATTGTTTTGAAAAGTCTTTTCTAAAGGCATGTGGTGTTTGGATTTCGAGATTTGTGGTCATTGTTTGTGAAGCTTAGTAGTTGGCTTAGAGTAGATAAARCTATATTTGGGTTTTTGTGATGACTTGAAATTCCCGTGGAAGAAAATTTTCCTATCTTTTTTTCTATTATCGTTACGAAAATGAGCTTTGACCAAAAGTCAACATTAAATTTTGTTTTAAAATTGGTAAATCTTTTACGGAAAAGTTTTAGTTGATTAAACARGCTTATGACGATGATTGCCTATCCTGTGGCAGAGTGCACGAGTGATTTCAATGTTTTCAAAGTGGTCGTGAGAACATAAATGACGATCAACAAGTGGGCCAAACAAAATCCGTGATCACCGGAAATTCCACTGAAAGCTGTGCGTGAATTCATCAAAAATCAGCCGAAATCATCATTGAAATTCATGGAAATGGAATTGAACGTTTCCAAAAYATCGATTTATCGTATTTTGACCGAACATTTGAGCTTACGAAAGATGTGTGCACGGTGTGTTCCGCACAAATTGACTTACGACCAAAAATTGCTCAGAATCCATTATTCGATCGACGTTTGCAACCGATTATTTGACCAAAAATCACATTTTAATCATTAACCCCGTATTCACCTGATATGACACCGTTTTTTTCAGAATAACGCATTTGCCCATGAGAGAAAAGCGTTATGCAGACGTAGAGGCCATTCAAAAGGCATGCACCGGTATACTGGCGGTCATACCGGCCAACGAGCTGAAACACTCGTTCCACATGCTTTTGGACCCTGCAAAAGGCTGTATTGAAGTAGAAGGATTTTTGCAATTTAAGAAAATCATGATGGGTTGTTGGATCCTCGACAATATGGGGTGATCTGAAATCCACTCAGTGCCCGTATTTCTGTTTTAAAACCTTCCCAGATCTTCAACTTATCTTCATTTCAAAGCAGCTCCGAATAAAGTAGTATATAACTTGAACAAAAAATGCTTGAAGTATGTGTTACCCAACAAGTTGCTGTCTTTTGAACAATTTTGCAGAAAGGAGGATAAATCATGTTTTGAATAGTACGCATATCCAGCTTCCATTGTTTCAGCAGACAAATAGATCCGAAGAGTCTTTGAAAGCCGGGCATCACTTCGCTTTACTTCTTCTGACTGTCATGTGAGGGAAATAATGGAGATTGCCAAGAGTCGCGTGAATCTGTCATCCGAAAACGTGACAGATATTATTAAATGCATGAATTGTTTACACGACGATATGGAGCGCGGAGGGGAAGTCATAACKCGATGGAACGATCTACCGGTTTGTTAAACTGCAAAAGTCATTTATAAAGCGGTACAGTAGGAATGTATAATGTTCCAACAAGGGACTGTTGAAAAATGATAGGTCTGCTTACTGATGATAGTCTTGTGGTGGTGCACGTCAACAGAATGGGTCTGACAGATCTAAGAAAAAGTTGGCGGGAAATATTAAGAGCAAGACTCCAGAAAAACAATGGATTACTTGTCCCGCATTAGTAAAGCATTGCATGAAGCGTTTGGGGGCTCCGTCGTATGAGACACTGGGAAATGTATCGTTAGTAAAGCCCCAGAGCCTGTTGAAATTCACGTCACGTCRAACGCTGGCATCCTAACCTTACTAACCTAAGTCAACACAATGGCTTATTCTATCACCGGCAGTTCGGAAAACAAACGAATTGTTGAGCAATTGGACAGCCTGATGAGCAGACTAGAAGCTTATTATCTGTAGAGAGTCAATGTGTTTTAACGTGAATACCTGTCTATGAAAGACTAAACTCCACGGTGCTTTCTATTGCTAGAAGCACGTAGATCAATACAATGCGTTGATCAGCGCCCCAAAGCATAAATGCATTTTGCATTTAATCCTTGGTTCCAATTGGTTCGGGTGGATAGGGACWCCCTAGTCACCTTGGTCGGGTACGAGGCCCATCTAAAACCTCTGCCGTACTTTGGGTCCGGCAMCCGGCCGCAGTGCGACTCCACATTGGACAAAATGCCCTTCCTGCATTTAGGTATAAACCACAGCCACCACGAATCTCCCCAAAGGGCCAAACCCAATGAGCAGATTGGAGTTACCTCCAAGGGCTTACTGCTCCCCGTGGTACCAGGTCATAGTCTTTGGTCTGACTTTGTAACTATTTGCTACTTCCAGTTGAGTTCCCGTATAAACTCAATGACTGGTTGCATTTGTAGCTGTGACAAATGCCTTATATTTTGAGATATAAATATAAAGCTTAGAATTTGACTTCCAGCTGAATATTATAGCACTTATCTGACTTAGACCATGTTGACATCAAAACATCGTCTCTAAAGCCTGACATAGTGCATATGGCTTATAGTCGCTTCTTACGACAGGCATGCCTTGCCGCGGGTATATTCGGTTTCCCCCCGCCCTGGAGGGGTCCACCCTACCCGCAGGGGTAGAGTCCTTACTAAGTTAACTTTCGAACTGTATCTTCTAAAACCGTCTCACACACCTTATATTATCTTTTCCATAGAAATTTTTCGCCGCCGCCACTTTCACCGCCATTTTAGCTTTAGCCTGCGCTGATGTTTCCCACCTGGGCTATGGCTACGACCAACCTGCGGCTAGCGCACCATTTATCCAATACATCCCACCTGCAGCCAATGCTCTTGAGCCTGCGTACGCCCCAGCCCCTGCTCCAGTCTTATCGTACATTCCTCCTGCGGCTAACGTACCTGAACAGGTCTACGCTCCAGCCCCGGCTCCTGCGCCAGTTTCATCTTACATTCCACCCGCAGCAACCGCTCCAGAACCTGTCTACTCTGCCCCAGCTCCAGCTTCAGTCTATGCCCCACAACAAGCTGTTTAAGGTTCCATCGAGCATATTGTGTGAAATATTAAGGCCCATCGTCAACAAACTGATTGGACTTTATCAGACCTGGAAAATCAACAACCGACCGGATATTTACCGTGCGGCAAATCTTGGTAAAACCCGTGAAAATCTGCTTTTGACAGCACGAAAAGGAGCTGACATTATGCCACGATGTCTTAATTTGTCATTCCCKCAAAACGGCTGTGTAAACTGACGTTAAGCAATGCCATAAATCGCCAGGAGCGAAAAGGAACTCTCCGAGCCGTTCGATACCAAAAGAGGTTTCAGACTAGTTGACTCACAATGGTKCGACTTCTTCAAGCTACTGCTGAAGAAAATAATTCGAGCTGCAGAGCTGAATCGTGAAGGCTGTGTTTACCAGTATTTACACCAACAGCAACGTCAACCTCGAAATCCAACGTAGAATAAGTTTTGCCAACAGGTGCTTCTTTGGACTGAGTAGGCAATTGAGATGTAAAGGCATGGACGATGGCAACATCTGATGAGTTGGTGTTACAAATTTTCGAGAGAAAGYGGGGGAAGCAGAGGAAGAGGAAGACCTCCACTCTGTTGGAGGGATCTGGTGGAGAGAATTTGGCTGCACTTGGTTTCGGCGCCAAAACTCGATAAGAGGAAACGACTKCYACGCTTTTGTTAACTCGGCTATAACCGCATAAGAGGTGACTACCTCATTAAAGAACAAGATTTAATAAAAAGCCTAAACGAAACTYAAAGAAGATCTAAAAAACTTCAGTAAATTTAAGATTTTTTCTGAGGGTAAYTCTGTAACTATGAAGATAAGCAGCTGTTTAAATAAAAACGTTTYTTCTATTGTCCTTACCACCTCCATTCTCAACGTCTTTATTTTCGTATTTAAATGCTTAATTTTCTAAATCGCTTTTCTGGTTTTAATTTTTCGTCCGGCAGGCAGGGTCAAACAGGTACTAAAGCGTTGGCACCAATTTCCGCCTTTTCAGTTTCCAAATCGCCAAAAGCTTTCAATGCAATTAACATAAGTACCTGTGCGGTCAAACGAAAATACCCACACGTGTGGATTTAGTGGCATATTCTCAGCCAGTTTGACAACGTGCAACATGATAGCAGCAAAATAAAAAAAACAAAAAAATAATAATAATAAAATAAAATAATGAGTAGCCCAACAACAGCACTATCCACACGAACTATACCAATGCCAAAATCGTCAGCCAATTGTCGATGCTGCTGCCGGTACTGCGGATAGGGCGCATCAAACGCGAYACCACAACATAACACTAAATTAGTTTCGGACCTCGTAAAATCGACGGCGGACTACTAATTTATTGCCTCATTAAGTGCGAGCAGCTTCCAATTGTTTCACGCGTTCGACCAGCGACGACACAGCAACAGCTAGCGGCATACAAACGCACCCACAAAAGTCGCWGCATCAGCAGTTCAGCTGCCAATAAAACGGTGAAGTTGAAGGTGAGGGCGAARAGCACGCGAGCAGCGGCGGCGTTCTTGGCGTTGATTGCTTGCGATTTGCATAAATTCTAAATCGGTTTTAAATTTATTTGTTCAACGCTTCCGCTCGCAGCGCACCAACACCGCCGCCACCATCATCACCAGCATCAACACCAACGCCAGCATCATCACTAACACCACCATCTTCACCACCTACTAGCCGAGCGTGGTTTTTCTCCATTCGTTCGCTCTATCTATTTATCTGTTTTCGCCTCCGCTTCTGCATTTAAATTCGTTTCGCCGCTTTAAAACTCTATTTTTAGCCACGCGCTGAACCCAGCCTGGTGWCTGGTGAGCGTTACGCGTGCGAACAATTATTTGTTGCTTTCGGCTATAAAGTATTTTTAAATAAAATTTATTAATTACTTGATTTACACTCAGCCGKCGCGAGCTGGTGTGTTCGGTCCAACTAATTAACATTTTACACATTTTTAATGACGACAATTTAATTTAATTTTTAAAAATCATTGAGCTAATTTATTTCGCCTCTTGAGTCGAGTTGCAGATGATTTACAGACATATATGTAAGGTGGTTAATTTATTGCTTGCTAAAACTCAATTTAAGTTAAATTTGGGTTTAAATTGTGCGAAATTCAGTTTAATTGACTCAGGGTGTCCATTTTTGTTTGTTAAATTGAGTGATAACTTTGAGTTTAGATCAAGACCATTTTTTTGGTCTCAAGACAATTCCAAATTTACTCTAATAATTTAATTTCTAAATATTTTAGTAATCAAATTAATCGAAGAAAACTCTAAATAAATTATTTTTTAATTTGAGTTCAATTTTGAGCACTTTGCGACTCTAATTAAGTTATAACTTTGTTTTTAAGTTTGAGCTTTAAATCAATTGCTTAATTTTGAGTTTTTTTTTTACACGTTTGAGTGGTTAATAAAACTATCTTGGAAGTTGAMATATGTTCCAACTTCAGTCATAATTAAGAATTAAAAGATCATGTGAGTTCAGTTTTGAGCATAACTGCAAYTTAATTTATATTTGCGCACAATTTCAAAAACTGTATATATCAATCATATCAAAGTACAGTTTTTGAAACCAAAAAAATTTCATTTCTGAGTTTGCGTTTAACTGATATTATTTAATTGAATATTATAACGAAGGTTGTAATGGTATATTTTAATTTATTTTCAACTTAAAATTGTTTGATAACTTACAATTCGTCTCAAACTTACGTTTGAGTCAAATTCAAAATTAAAATATTCAAAGAATTCATAAATTAAAATTAACACGAGTTTTGTTTGAATTATGTTATTTCCTTATTATCATTTATTTTGAGTCTAAAATATGGTGACAACTTAGAATTTTGTCGCAAACTTAAGTTTGAGTTTAATTCAAAATTGTAGAAAAATCTGAGTTGTACATTGAAATTGTGTTGTTTTGAACACAATATATATATTACTTGAGTTTTGTTCAGTTTTGAAGTAAGCCTTGAGTTCTAAAATAAAATTGAGTGTTTTAAGGATTATTGGAGTTTTATTCGAAGTTAATATTATGTTCGGGTTTTAAATGAGACTTTATTAYAAACCGTTCTTGTTTTCAGACTTGATTTTGATTGTAGCTACGTTTASTTAAAAATGTTTAAGTTTTGAGTTTAAATTTGAGAAGTAGTTTTCTAATCTCAAGAATTAGTCAAACAAGTAAGGAAGGGCTAAGTTCGGGTGTCACCGAATATTTTATACTCTCGCATGATAAAGTGACAAACGAGATTTCGCGTGGTTGTGAACCGATTTCACCCATATTTGGTACATGTCATCAGGGTGTTAAGAAAATCTTATATACCGAATTTTATTGAAATCGGTAGAGTACTTCCTGAGATATGGTTTTGGTCCATAAGTGGGCGACGCCACGCCCATTTTCAATTTTTAAAAAAAGCCTGGATGCAGCTTCCTTCTGGCATT